CACTTTACCTGCATTGTCTCAGTACAACCAGGTGTAACGGGCACCGGTTTACACTGGGGGATAACTTGTCAGGGATTAGTGTCCTATTCAGGGGGAGACAATGACTCTCATCCGCTTAAATTAGCATCACAGAAACCGGACATAAGCGCCGTCCTCATGAGCTTAAGGGCTGGGAGAAGAATTTAACTTTTAACTCTGGTAAACATAATTCAAGATCAACTTTTCCATGGCACCTGATCCCATCTCTGATGTTTTCAGAGGTCAGTGTTCGCTCTGCTCACAATTTTTATTGTTTCACTGGACTTTTCGAGAAACTACTATCCGGTATCTTCATATTTCATATTGCCGATTTCTGGAAAAAAGTTTGTCTTATTTATCCTTGAGGAGGGATTCTTATCTGGTTTCTGACTACAAGGAATATTCAAAGTATATTTGCTAATATGTTTTATAATTTAGATGTAAGGGTTTAAAAATATCACAATTTTCTTTCCTCATCATAATTGTACAGCATTAGATAGAAATGGTAAACTGAGTTTGAAATAGATCAGGGACCATATTTTTGGCGGAACGGCGGCGTATGAAAATATCTCCTTTTCTGCTTCTCAAAATTACTGTAGAACAATGAATTTAGTTAAATTTTTCAAACAATCAAAGATTCAAAGAAATTTTCAAATGTAAGTAAAATTAATAATAATGGACTGAAGTTTTCAAATATATATGATTTTTCAGACAAAGTACAATTTTATTAGCTTTTAAAAGCATCCAATCCAAGTACAGATTTGAGCAAAAAATCTGTAAAAGTGTATCTTCTATCTAAGTAAACGGTCAAAACTTTTGTATCAATTTGTATCTTTATATGACTACTTTACCATATATGTGAAAATAAGGAAAATTTAAATATTCGAAGCATATAAAAATAACTAATATATCCAAAGAAATTAAGAAAAAAAGAGGAGATTCGGATAAGCCAATATCTATTTTAGTTAAATTATTTGTGTGAATTTGGTAGTATCATCTGATTGACCCTATGTGGTAAAATCTTTTTATGCAAAAAAGAAAACCATTTGATCTTTTGAAATAGAGGTAGGCATTATATGATTGGCAACAGTAATCTTTTATTCTTAATGTCAAGGAAAAAGAAAATGACCTTGATTTAACCTTGCTTCTAAAATAAAATGGTCAAATTTAAACTAATTGGTATCATCACTTAGAAATAATGTCTTCTCGAATCTATGAAAATTACATTAATTTTAATTTACAAGAAATATGAGAAGAATCCCTCCTTAAGCGAAGTGGAAAGAAAGCAATCGTTACACACATTAAATTAATCAAGGCAATGTTTAAAACTACTCGTTTAATTAATTCTTATTATGCTAATAATAATAAATGTTAAATATATTTTTCTTACTTTATACCTCAGTATTTCTACATGCATGTATATTCTCATACATATTCGTCTTCTTTTTGTTTTAATTTGTTAAATAAATTTTCTTTCTTTATTTAGTTCTGTTGTTTGTTTGTACTTGTTCAGATTGTCTTCAATATGCATATTGATATAAACCTGTGTGTATTATTCAACAATATTTGTTTGCTTAAATTCTTTATATCTAGATGTTAAGGATTTCAAAGATATTTTCTTTCCTTCTCAAAATTGTACACTTGTAAATAGAAATGGAAGGAAGCAGGCTTTTAAATCTAACAGGAACTACAGAGTATGAAGATATCTCTTTTTCTGCTTTTCAAAATTACTACAGAACAATGAATTTATTTGGTATTTTTAAACATTCAAAGGCTTAAAGAATTTTTTAAGTAACTGAATTTAATAAATTGGGCAAAAGTTTTAAATTTATTAAATGAATATGATTTTCCAAACAAAGAAAAATCTTGTTAGCCTTTGATAACTTCCAATCTAACAAAAAAATTGAGCAAAAAGTCGGGAAAATGTTTTTTCTTTCTTATTAAACGGTCAAAACTTTTTGATTTTGAATCTTTACATGACTTTTTCACTGTATGTAAAAATAAGAAAATTTAAAATATACAAAACTTATAAAAATAACTAATATTCCTTAACATTTAAAGAAAAAAATAAAAATAAAGGAAATTCGGGTTAGCCATTATCTATTTAGTTCAAATATTTATCTCAGTTTGGTAGTATCAAATAATAAATCCTCATCTTTTAATGAAAAAGAAAAACATTTGATCTTTTAAAATAGAAATACATGTAAGCATCACATGATTGGCAGCAATTTTTTTTTATTCTTAATGATAGGCCTTGACCTGTCCTTGCTCCTAAAATAAAACGATCAAATTAAGTCTATTTGATACTATCACTTAGTGATATTGTCGTTTTGAATCTGTGGAATTATATTATATATTTTTAAATACAATAAATATTGCAAGAATCCCTCCGTAACTGTTTAAAAGTAATTAAAGGGACATGGGCACACTTGCGTTGCGGTTTTGTTTACAATTTTGAATTTCCTTTTTTAATTTGGAAAATAGCTTCATTTTCATGATTCGATGACAACGGCTCTCCTCATAGCCTTTCATCAAACACCACTGAGCTCTATTATTAGTCCCCTACCGGTGAAACCGGAGGGGACTATAGGTTTTCTCTGAGTCTGTCCGTCCGTCTGTCCGTCTGTCTGTCTGTCTGTCCCTCTGTCTGTCTGTCAGTCTGTCCCACTTGGTTTACCGCACTTTTTTCCTAAACGCTTGCAGATATTGAGCTGATTTTTGGTATGTGAGTGTATCTTGATGAGTTACAGATCAAGTTTGCATTTCGTTCCGCTTCACTGAATTTTGATGGAATTACGGCCTTTTCAATTTTTACGGGTTTTCCGCAATTTTCTTCTAAACGCTTGTAGATATTGAGCTGATTTTTGGTATGTGGCTTTACCTTGAGTAGTTAAAGATCAAGTTTGCATTTCGTCCCGCTTCATTAATTTTTGACGGAATTATGGCATTTTCAATTCTTAACGGAAACGGAACCAGATTACACTTGCCGGTAGGGGACCAGTATTGCTAATGCAATACTCTCAGAATGCTTGTTGTTAATGTTTACGTTTTACCGGGTGTAATCGATTTGCTGCCATTGTTCACATCATTGACCACAAACTGACAACACTGGTGTGTTGGTTTTGCTTTCTTGCATTTCATTTCTGACCTTACTTGGTTATAGTTTTAATATCTTTTATTAACGCACCACAAATTTCCCACTTTCCTTGAAGACTTAGGAAAACCAGAAGTCTCTGATGAAACTGTAGCTCTACAGGTTTTTATTTATAACAAAGGAAAAGTAGCACTTGCACTTGAAACTATGCAACAGCATTAAATAGAATAATGGTCCCTGGTTAAGTTGCTTTGGGGCAAGATTTATTGCAATCAGATTAAAATTGTTGGAGGAGTAACCTTTTGAAAGAATTTCACGAAATTTTCTGTTTAAGAAACCAGGGCAAAACCGTTCATCAAAACACTAAAATAATTTAAATTATGTATCTCTATGTAGTCTACTTGTGTGCGAAATTATATTGTAATCAGACAAAAACTGTTGGAGGAGAAGCATTTTTGAAGTATTTCACAGAAATTTCTATGTTTAGTAACCATGCCAACACCATTATACCAAATCAAAAAACGATACACAGAATTATTGCTCTGAGTTTGAAATCTTGTGTCCAAATTATATTCAAATCAGAAAAAAACTGTAGGAGGAGAAGCGTTTAACAAATATTTCTAACTTTAGTAACCTTGGCAACAACACTCACAAAAAAATGATAAAAAGAATTATGCATCTAAGTGTAGTTTACCTGTGAGCCAAGTTATACTGAAATTAAACTAAAACTATAGGAGAAGTAGCATTTTGAAAGTATTTCACAGAAATTTCTATTTTTGGTAACCATGGCAACACTGCTAAAAAAAATCAAAAACCGATGCACTAAATTATATTATGTATCTAACTGTAGTCTACTTGCCTGCCTAGTAATATTGAAATCAGACCAAAACTGTAGGTAGGGTAGCGTTTTCAAAGTATTTCACAATGTTTCTATTTTTAGTACCCATGGCAACACCGTTACATCAAATCAAAAACTGATGCACTAAATTATGTATTTAAAAGTAGTGTACTTGTGTGCCAAGTTACATTGAAATCAGACCAAACCTGTAGGGGGATTTTCGCTTTTATGGAATTTCTTGGAATATCTATTTTAGTAACAATCTAAATCAAAAACCGATGCACTGAATTATGTATCTAATTGTGTCCCATGTTATATTGAAATCAGATCAAAACTGTAGGATGAGTAGCGTTTTGAAGAATTTCACAGAAATTTCTATTTTTAGTACCCATGGCAACACCGTTCATCAAAATCAAAAACCGATGCTCTAAATTATGTATTTTAGTGTAGTCTACTTGTGTGCCAAGTTATATTGAAATCAGACCAAAACTGTAGGAGGAGTAGTATTTTGAAAAATTGTTAACAGACAGACAGACGGGCGGACCACGGACACCTTACTATCGCATTTAAGCTCTTCTGGTCTCTGACCAGTACAGCAAAAAATTAGTCCAGGAAAGTGCAAGGATATATGACAATCAAACACGCCAGAAATTCATAGTGCAGATAAAGTAAGTTTCTAAGCAAATTTTCATAATATATCGGTTTGAAACTCTCTTGCAATATGTAAGTCATGAAATTCTACCGAAAATTTGAAGATTATAAATTTCAAATCTGTTTCCATGCCCTTTTTACATTTAATTATATTATCAAGACACCCAAGCTTTATTTTCTTGCCAACGTTACGTGTTCTCTTGTGATTTTAAAAAAACTAAACTATAATTTCAGAAAGCTTTTAAAAGATTATGGCTAAAATTCAACGTGAATGGCAACAACAAACTAAAGCAGCGAAGAAGTTGCTATGGAAATGACAAAGAGGCATCTCGAATCATGCTATTTACACAATTTATTGTAAATACTTAAAGAGTGCAGTATCAATTTTAAAAAGATTATATATACATGTATATATACGTGTATTTTACCCATTCTGAAACTTTTTCTTGCATGGAAAAACTGAGTGATGGGCTATGTCGCTTACTGCTAACCAATGACCATGCAAAACAAAACATCCTGGCTCTTACTCCTGAATGGAGAACACGGTATTTACAGAGAATGTAATTGATAATTACTTTCTTTTCTTTTTTTATTGCCTTGTTTTTGTATTATAATTTTCATCCTGTCGTTGTTGATAGCAAAAATAGAGGATCACTTGCTATCATTATCTTCTTGAGCACCTTTTATCTTTTCTTCTTTCTTGCTTTTTTCCTCCATTTTTAATTTCTCTATCATTTAAAAAAACATTCTAGTCGAAAATTAAATCTTTCGTAATCACAGATGTGATTCCATTGGTGTATCCATTCCACATAGAGTAATAGGATGTGTCACTGTATATATGACGTCATCAATCATTGCGTGACCTGGCGGTAAGAACTTGATGGCCATTTTGTTTAATTCGATCCCTTTAGCACGAGATGGCTCTAAATTGTGCTGACAAAGAACAAGCTTTCTGACTTTGTCGGCAATCCCAAGACTTCCCGATAATCCAGTGGACCGAATCCCTCCCACCGTTATCCAGCCACTGAAACAGGTCATTTTAATTAAGAATTAATATCTCGGCTGCCACAGCTAAGTCAGCAGAAAAGGAAATTTTCCTGATAATATATGCATATTTTATAGAAACAGGTTCATGTGAAGCAATTGAATAAGTCCACTTTTAATCGGCCGCAGGAGCGGCCGATCTGTTTGTGGTTGTCATAGGGAAATGAGATGTTATTATTTCATTGCTTTGATGGAATAATTCCTTATTGATAACATACATTAAAGTTGAGAATAAAAGTTTCAAAACTTTGCTTGATATGTGGTTTAAATGGTTTTTAAGTGAGCTTTATTTGTTTTTCATTTTCAATCAGATATTTATTAATTTATGATTTTTTTAAAAGTTGTTACATGTACATGAACTGCTCCTCAACATGGGCATGCGTATGATAAAAATTCAACGTACTAAGTTTCCGGATAAGAATTAAAGTGCCTTAAATAATTATAAATTGTAAAAAAAAAAAAAAAAAAAAAAAAATGTTTTGAAACACCATACGAATGACACAATGTTTTTTGTTCTGCACTTCACATTTATTGTGACACATATTATCACGTGACAAAGATCCAGGGTATCAGTACGTTAAGTTTGTATGCCTTTTTTGTCATCATTCAGACATTCATAATTAATAATTTTAGACATTTGTTGCATAAGTCTATGAATCAAATAATTTGAAGAACATATATTCCTTTCCTTAATCTCAGTCCGATTTTCATTTCCATGAACTTATTTATTTTGACAAATATTTAACAATTGATCACTGAAAATGAAAGTTTAAAAATTGCACAGAAAAGTAAGGTAAGTGTAAAAATTTGCAATAAAAATGTACCATATACATTTTCTACTTTTTTCTTCTCTGGACTTTTTCCTGTAGAAATACTTCAAAATGCTAAATATATTTTTTCTGGCCGATTTGATGCTTTGCATCGATTTAACTTGTAATCAATATGTGTTATAGAAAATATATACACAAATGTCATCTGATTTTTATTCTTATTTTCAAAATCCATTATTTTGGAAACATTATTCAACAGACATAAAGAATTATCTAAAATTAATGGTTAGTAATTCTGATATCTTTTGATAAACAAAAGAAATAAAGATCGAAACCAACATTTCAAAATCAAATAGAATGTACCGGTACATCAAAGACGACCTCTGGGCTTATCAATTAAATCTTGAAATTTTCACGAACGATGAATAGACGGAAATTAATGAATAAAGTGATATATTTTATTAATTACAATCAACCAAGTGTCTGATGCCACAAAGTACAGAATAATTAGGAATTATTATAATAACCTGAATAATAAGGGTCACCTCGGTATATTTATGAATGAATTGCAGGTACAAATCTTTTCTACATAATTTTGCATTTGGGTGAATGAAAAAAAAAGACCACCAAACTGAAATATTTTGGAAAAATTCAACTACTTATAACATATTTTTTACTTATATCATCATATTGCACATGCATTCTGGTTTAAAATCCTGAAGTGGCAATAGAATAGACAATTGGATTCAAAAGTTTCAGAATTTTCATTGGTAAAGTTTCTTTTGAAAAAAGAAAATATCATTACACCTTAAAAGATTTTCTAAAATACATAATCACAAAAAATTATAGTTTTTTATGCTTCAAAATAGTAAAAGGGGTATAAATGATTAAATCTAGACCTTGACTGCGTATTTTCTCTTGTATATATGACAAAAAAATTGGCTTTTTGATAGTTATTTTATATAATTTTTTTTTTAATTCTGGTTTGAAAAGTTTTAATATGAAAAAAAAAATATGACGCAATAAAATTCCCCAAAATTCACTTTTTTGTCCGTTCAAGTCAATTCTTTTAATCTAAGCCAAAAAAGAATTCCTATATGCGAGTTCTCTTACAAAAAATACTAGATTTTGAAGTGACCCTATGTTACATTATTGTGTTGCACTCCTGACATCTGATATGTATTTTATTTAACATTGTTATAACACACAATAACCCATTCTTACTTTCTAAATCAATTTGTCGTTTTGATATTTTTCATCTTTTACGGCAGGTTTTTCGTATTTTAGAGACCTTAAAACATGATTATTTGCAAAGTGTAATATATATATATATATATATTGTATCTAAAAATATATGTGAAGTGATGAAAACTATTCCCTGAACTGACTGTAAAATTTCTGTAATTTGTTGATAGACATAGTGTTTTGAACATCAAATATCATCAAACATCAAACATTTTTTTCAACCTATTTTTTAGTAAAGATAGTTGAAAAGCATTGGTAATTATAAAGCAGTTTTGTTGCACTCCTGACTGCAGTAAAATTTAAAATTAAAACCATAGAACACAAAAATTCATAGAGTGTTGGCAACATCAAGTGGTAATGAAATTGTGCAATATTTATAGTCCAATACTTCATAGTTAAAACAGATGAAAGTATTAAAAATTCGCATTTTATCTGGAATTATTCCCTATTTATGCCAAAAAAGTAGCTTAAACGTATATTTAGAAGATAAAATATATTTTATAGCATATTTTCCTTTAGAGGACAAACACAGTAACCCACCAGAAAAATTCTACTCATTATTTTTCTTTATTTTTATTCTTATTGGATGATTTATAATTCTAACATATTTGTTGCACTCCTGACCAAAAGCATTGGGGCCTTTTTAGTAGAATTGTGAAGTGAAAATTACGTAAGAACTTGTTCTGTTGTTTCAGTGAAGTTGAGGAGGAATTACTTGAATTTTATGACAATTTTTTAGTGTGTTTATTTTTAACATTCATTTAAAAAATCACTAATAATAAAAACACATCTGAATTGATAAAATTGAAAAAGGAAGGATTTTAATAATAAAACTGTCAATAATTTAGTATTAAATTATACAAAAAGATCATTATTAATTAATGAATACTTCTAAGCATGAATAGATGTGTTTTCGTCACACAAATTGAATCTTTAAAAAAATGTGTTGCACTTCATAGAAATATAGATCTGAAGCACAGACAGATCCTGTAATTGATAAATCTGTAATTGGTAAAAATGTTCTTTGTGTCTTCATTTTCCAAAATAAAAATCAGAAAATCATATAAAGATAATAGTTTTTTCATGCTTGGGAGCAAAACATCAAATGTTGCACTCCTGACATTATTGGATATGCACATATACTTGACTCTCATTAATGCTGCTTGTGATTTATATAACATTTTTAAGTTTTAAAATGCATATCAGTTATTGTTTTACACTTCCAAAATTCTTTTTTGTCTTAATTTTCTTTCAGAACTTTACAATTGATGTTTTTTTGGCAACACTACATTTTTTTCTGTTGCACTCCTGACATGGTACATGTGTATAACATTTGTTAAACATCAGCCATGACCACCCCTTGATTAAACAAAAGTTACTACAGTCCACATTTAAAGCTCAATACTTTGAATATTATCAGAAAAGTCTTTATTTTCAACATAAAGCATTATTATTTATTTAATAGATCTCCAAAAAATATCGAAATTTCAAAATGTCACAAAAAGGTTTTGCACTCCTGACAATTAGACACTATCTAAAGACATATTCTGAGGCATAGAAATCTATTTTCATTGCCTGTATTTTTAGTGTGGGTTGATAAATATGCGTTTGGTCATTTTTTTTTTTTTTTAATTCACCCATTTCTTACATTTGAAATGCTGAATGCAATAAAAAAAGTAAAAACAAAATCTGGAAACATTAACTGCAACAAAATAAGAACAACATTATGTAGTTATATTTATGAATACTTGCATTTGTATTTTTACGAACTGAAATGGGATTCCAAGAGATATATACATTTTAATTAGTTATAATAAGTAATACACAGGATTTTTAAAAAAAAAAAAAAAATCTTTTACCTTTCTGGGTAAGAATCGATGTAGTAGTCCTTTATTTCTGTGGCAGGTCGAACACCAGTGTAAGTGTTAACTATGGGACACCCTCCTAATCCCTTCACACAAGATTCTCCATAACGGATTAGGCGCTGAATCGTGTTCGAATCACTCTCCGGGCGCCTTTTGCTGATTGCCTCCTCAAATGTCGGCCCGATAATGACATTACCATAAACTGACCAATTAAAATGCAATTGATAAAAATAGAATAAGAATCTGACGTTTTCTCATTGTTCTATATTTTTACATATCTTTTTAACAGAAAGTTACATTGTGATTCATTTTTTACTCCGTTCATACGGCAAGATTTGCCAAGTATTTTGAACATACAAATATTTATAAGTTGCGTGAGTAAATCTTGTCATATAAATGCATTAACTTAAATGCAAATTTTAATTCTGTATGCAAATTTACACCTAGCAGAACGATATAAATATATTCAGAATTTTAGTAAAAGTATATATTCTGATACAGTATTAAATAATATCTTTGCCAATTAAACGTACATAAATTTACCAATATGTAGTGATCTAGGGCGTTACAATTCGGAGAATTGGAGATACATGTTTACTACTCTGAAGAGGTCAATGTAAAACTGGACGGAACGAAAAGGAAACAACAAGTGCACGCCTCATTTGGCTAGGAAGCATAGAAAGGAATTGCGTATAAGGAAAATACTATATTGATATAGCTGCAGAACTGTAGCTCTATGCTTGAGAAAATTCGGACAGATAAAGCAGACCCGAAATTCTGCAGCTATATATCGATAATGACAAACTACGTATATGAAACTCTTTTAATTAAATTGATGTGGATATACAAGCATAAGTAAATTGAATATAAAATGTGAAAGAGAGAAAGGATCTTTAAGCAAGAATAAACTAGATTCCATTTTCGGAATAAGGCCAGCACCACGTATCAGTTGTAAAATTCATTGAAAATGAGCAATGATTGCAGTCATGTAAGTAAAATTAAGTATTTGAAAAGTTGTGAAAGGCATTCCAAATAAATTGATACTGAAAGTCCTTGACATAACTATTACAATTATGAGAAAACATCTATAAAGATAAACAAAAACAAAAAAAAATTACCAACAACAAAAACCGAAGCAAAAAGAAAAGGAAGGTTATACCAACACAAAGTGTAGATTCCTAAATATACGCGAGGAATGAATTATCGCGTAATTACGCGAGAAGCACCACTCGCGGAATAAATTTACTCGCTTTTATTTTTATGGTGATGAAATCCATGTAAAATCTCTTGATCAACCGCCCACTCGCGAATTATTGTTCTCGCGATTTGACGTTAAAGAGCCATTTTGCGATAATAAATACTCGCGAAAATAAGGAATCTACAGTATACACACGAAACCAACATATATACACACAAAACCAATCCCGTTGAGCTTGAAGTAAAAGATACCACTAAGTCTGACACATCTGTTTCATATTTGGATATTTTACCAGAAAAAGACGTTAATGGTAATCTAACAACCAAGCTTTATGATAAACGTGATGACTTTAACTTTTCAATCGTCAACTTCCCTTACTAATGCAGCAATATACCTTCATCATCTGCATACGGGGTTTATATCTCTCGGTTGATTCGATACGCAAGAGCATGCTCTACGTATGGACAATTTCTAAAACGAGGTAAGTTATTGGCAAACAAGTTGATGAAACAAGAATATCAGCAGTCTCGTTTAAAGTCTTCATTTCGTAAATTGTATGGTCGATACAATTACCTTGTCAGCAAAACAATTTATCATTAAGTAAAATGCTGACTGACGTTTTTCAGACTAATTGGTAGGCCACTATTTACACTCTGAATTGTCGACGGATTGTTCCGTTATTTCTCGATCATGACAAGGAGCACACGGCGGGTGTGACCGGTCGGCAGGGGATGCTCATTCCTCCATGGCACTTGATCCCACCTCTGATGTTTTAGAGGTCCGTGTTTGCTCTGCTCCAAAATTTGTATTGTTCAATGGACTTTTGAGCATGAATACTGTTCGTTATCTCCATATATTTCATATACACACAAAACCAACATATATACGCAAAAAACCAACATATATACACACAAAACCAACATATATACATACAAAACCAACATATATTCACACAAAACCAACATATACATGTATACACACACAAAAAACAACATACATTTTCACACAAATGGTCAGGAGTCTGGGAACAGAGACACAGTGAGAGAAGAGAAATAAAGAAGAAAGCCTATCATAATACACAGGCAATAGTATGGTTTTTGAAAGGGGCAGTGAGAAAAAAATATTTTCAACTGAAAAACTTTGAACCCCCCCCCCCCCCCAAAAAAAAAAAAAAAAAAAAAAAAACGAAACTAATCCAAACTGAAAAATCCTGATTTAACAATGATAAAAGGTTATGTTTGGAATCACCTCACATACATGTACTACGTGTCTAATACAATGATATAGAGATGTTTGGTCTACAAAAAAACCACCATTACAACACTGTAATTCCTTTTTTAGTTGGTAATCAGTTGTCAGTAGGTCCCTTTTCAGAATTAAACCTTTATTAGTTCTGCAGACACGGAGCAGTCTTTATACGATGCAACAACTAGAGGTTCTGATAAGTTTCATTTTTTGTAAATTTTAGTGATTTGTGGTTTATGACTGTAACATTTAAGGAAATACGTATATATTTGTTTAAATTTTCCAGAATTTATCTTAAATGTTTTCCTTTTGCTCATTCAGAAAGCCTGATACATACTGCTAAAAATAAAATTCTTTAGTAAAAAGAAAAAGTGAGCAAGCTCACATACCCCACGCTTCCCCAAAACTCGACAATGCAACACGTAATGAATGGCACAGTGCATTTTAAATACACAGTATAATTCAAAAAAGGGGCATTACTTGCAAAAAATCATCACATCAAAACTTCTTGCATATAAGGACATTCAAATCTTTGTATGTTACAAATTTAACTGGGCTGAAGTTTCTAGATAAATAATGGAATCAAAATTTCTTGGTAATATACAAATCTATACATTATTCTGAAATACCTACAAAGTTTCAGGAAATTCAGTGCCGGAATTATGCTGACAAACTGTTATTTAAATTCCTCAGTGATTTCGATTTGTTAATGAGTGTAAGTCCATGTCCAACACATGACAGTTTACACATTTAAATAATTGATGGAAACAAAATTATGATGTAGTCATATGAATCTGTTTATATACTGTACTTATGAAATTATTTAAGGCAAAGCACACCAATTTGAAGGGGGGGGGAGAACTATCGAAGATGGTGTGTGTGTGAGTGTGTGTTTGTGTTAAACCATTAATATTTTGATCTCAAAATCAATAGGGGTCTTTTAAGGTCATAAAATATTTCACATAGAATTTCATTATAAAAAGCTGATTCCAGTGGAGTTTCTTATTACCTAGCTGGAAAGTTTCTTCAATAAAAGGCAAAACTCTTAAGGCAAAAATAATGGAATCGGAATTTCCTGGTAATATGCACATCTACACACTGTGTACTAAATATCTGCAAAGTTTGTCCAAATTCTGTGCAGCGGTTTAAGAGGAGTTGTGCTGACAAACTGTTCATCTCTATATTCAAGATATGGCCAAAAACCTAAGTTGAAAAGTGCCGAAATTCCCAGAAAAAATAAAGGAATCAGAATTTCCTGGTAATATGCACATCTACACACTGTGTACTAAATATCTGCAGAGATTGACCAAATTCTGTGCAGCGGTTTAAGAGGAGTTGCTCAGACAAACTGTTCATCTTTATATTCAAGATATGGCCAAAAATCTAAGTTGAAAAGTGCCGAAATTCCCAGAAAATATAAAGGAATCGGAATTTCCTGGTAATATGCACATCTATACATTGTGTGCTAAATATCTGCAAAGTTTGACCAAATTCTATGCAGCGGTTTAATAGGAGTTGTGCTGACAAACTGTTCACCTCTATATTCAAGATATGGCCAAAAACCTAAGTTGAAAAGTGCCGAAATTCCCAGAAAAATACGGAATCGGAATTTCCTGGTAATATGCACATCTACACACTGTGTACTAAATATCTGCAAAGTTTGACCAAATTCTGTGCAGCGGTTTAAGAGGAGTTGCGCTGACAATCTGTTCATCTCTATATTCAAGATATGGCCAAAAATCTAAGTTGAAAAGTGCTGAAATTCCCAGAAAAATAATGGAATCGGAATTTCCTGGTAATATGCACATCTACACATTGTGTCCTAAATATCTGCAAAGTTTGACCAAATTCTGTGCAGCGGTTTAATAGGAGTTGTGCTGACAAACTGTTCATCTCTATATTCAAGATATGGCCAAAAATCTAAGTTGAAAAGTGCCGAAATTCCAAGAAAATATAAAGGAATCGGAATTTCCTGGTAATATGCACATCTATACATTGTGTGCTAAATATCTGCAAAGTTTGACCAAATTCTATGCAGCGGTTTAATAGGAGTTGCGCTGACAAACTGTTCATCTCCATATTCAAGATATGGCCAAAAATCTAAGTTGAAAAGTGCCGAAATTCCGAGAAAAAATAAAGGAATCGGAATTTCCTGGTAATATGCACATCTACACATTGTGTCCTAAATATCTGCAAAGTTTGACGAAATTCTGTGCAGCGGTTTATGAGGAGTTGCGCTGACAAAAAAACAGGACTGACGGACTGACTGACTGACTGACTGACACACTGACTGACTGACTGACTGACTGACGGACGGGTCAAAAACATTATACCTCACGCAACTTGTTGCGTGGGGTATAAATACTTTGTCTTAGATTCTACATTAAATATTATATGCATGTATTTAGTTGCTTTAGTCATCAGCACATTCTATCATCCCCGCTAATTTTTTGCCATTAAACAGCAAGAGTTTAGCTGCATGTTAACATTGATATTTATAATATAGATGTGATTGTATATACACATATATACCTGTTTTAAAAATAATTTCACCTTTCCCTTTGTCTGTTGGAATTGGTAGAATACTTGAATTGATCAGGTGTTTTACGGTCTTTGGATAGACTGCATATTGCCCTTTCTTTGGGACTATACTGAAGGAAAAAAAAATCTTAACAATGTTATGAAATTAAACCCTCACCTTTGATTTTCAGGGACACAATTTTAACTATAAGTATTTAGCATATGTTTTGATATTATTTTTCCACATTGTGCATAATTATGCTGTGTATATGAAAAAAATTGATCGTCATTTTGCTAATAAATGACCATTTTTGATTCTAATAAGTGTTTGACTTTAATAAGTTGAAAATCAAACGGAGCAGAATCATTCAGAAGAAAAGAGTTTTTATAGTCGAAATATTTTAACTTTTTATATGTGTACACCGGTACAAATAATATACATAATGTTATATGTACAAACAAAACCTCTCATAATTTATTTAAGGGGAGAAAATTTTAAAAAAAATTGCGAGTTTGTTCTACCTTTTTCACTTTTGAACAATTAAAATTAAATTTAATTAAAACAGTACTAAATGCAAAATTGTTGTCTTATCTTCTCCGCGATCAGAAAATTTTATAATTTTTACATTATTAAAAATCCTATATAAACAAGTATTGTGCATGTCTAATTGTGAAATAGCGAGTTGTTAACCAGACTACATGTGTAAATTGTAAAGCGTTTGACAGCTTGGGGCGACACAGATGATGTTAACTTTGTACGATAAGATCTCTTTCATTTCATTGGTTTCTTAAGATTTTACAACTTATGATGTGATAAACAGACCTCCAAGAAACTTTATTGCTTTATACCTGAAGTGTTGCAGCCCTGCCAGTTTGTCCACGATATCACCATAGAGACCACCACAGTTAATGACGACACGTCCTGTAAACTGACCACGTGATGTCATCACGTGCACATATTGGTTATGATCGGCTTTACACGTGTTTTGTACCACAGTGTCAGTTTTGACCTTCGAATAAAAGATACTGATACTGATGATAACCTGTAATTTATAAAAGATTAAAACATTTTTATCCTCTTGTTTTACATGTATGGAAGGTGGATTCACTTTGCCAATCGGTTATTTTGTTCGTTGGTATGATAGTGTGTGCTAAAAGCGTAAAAAAAATAAAGATTATACCTTATGCCTTGCACAAAAATCATCATACATTGAACATGAGTACTTACTTTTGAGGTTATTAAGAGAATGATTTTCAAGAACGTTGTGCTTGGTTTTTTTTTTTTTTTTTTTTTTTTTTTTTTTTTTGAAACTCCATACGAAGGAGTTGCTTGAAATGATTATTTAATCATGGATCATTAAAACTAGCATCAGCCGTGACTTGGCGTGTTACTTTCTATACTGTAGGGAAGCGTATTAGTGCCATGTAATATTCTTTAAAAGTTGAAAATTCCAACTTTAAAATTGGTAATTCCAATTTTTAAGTTGGCTTTTCCAACTTTAAATTGGTAATTCCAACTTTTATCTTGGCTTTTCCAACTTTAATGCTGATTTTTAAAACTTTTTTGCGCTTCATGCGTTTTATACTTTGTAGTTAATTGGGCCCTTGTTGCTCTTTTATAATTACAATGGAAGTAAATAATTTTTTAATATAGTTATGATGAAAGAATGAATAACTTTCATTGTGTTTTCATATACAGAATTGATAGATTTTGTTCAGTTGTCTTTGTAACATGAAAATTAGCGTTGATTCATCCTATAAATGAAACACCTAATAGAGTCTCGATAGTTTAAACTCATTCTCAACAAAGGATGACTGCACTTAAGGATATGCGAAATTTGCGACAGAGTAAACTTTCAAAACAAGCATTTTTCTTTTCATTGCAAGAATGGTCAACATCCAATCTACAACTTTATGTAATAACGTTTTATAAAAGTGTGTATTTACGAAGTTCGAATCTGTTTTCAAAGGCAGGGGTCATCACAATTTCTTGAATCTCCGTTCGATAATGAGGACGCCCACTTTTTTACTGACTTCATACATAGTCAGCGCATGTTTGTCTATTGTTCTCCGTTTAACAGTAGTTGTATATTTGCATAAGTAATAATGTGTCAAAAGGAGATTAATAGACAAACATGCGCTCATGGTCAAAAAGAGAAAAAACTGCTTCTTCTTACATTCGCTCTCTGTGTTGTAACCAATGGTTGTGACATGTTGAATATTATAATTCACCCCGTGATTTCGTACCTCAGGTAACTTTGTGAATACTAAATTCCGTCACGTGACTTGTAAGGTAGCATGTTTTGTGCTAACTAGGACATTGTGTTCGAACACGTTAAGTCATCTGGCATTGATATACAATCTGCATTAATTACATTGATGTGCTCCTATTGTTTATTTCGTTTTGAAACCTTTGTCAGTAGTGTATTTGTACCATGCAGAATGGAGAGGGAGATTGGAAAGAGTGATCACGTTTTTTTTTTCAAACATGTCATTGTTATTTATCAGTCTAATTTTAGACCCATTCTTACAATGTTAGCTCCACCTCTCATGCATATCTTATGTTCAATCAAGGGCAGGTAAGTGTAAATTCACTATATTTGGAAAGCAGTAAGGACAAAAAACATTGAATCATTTTATTGTATCACAGTCTAAAATCATTTTAAGATTTAAATTTGGTTCCAAATTGACAGGATTCTTTTATAAACATACAAAAGTGAAATAAGGTTTAGATATAAAAGCAACAGAAGCAACCGAAAAAGACCCCAAAACCGGCGTTAAGTGCAATCATCCTTTATATATGTCTGATCTCTTACATAGGTATTGTTGAAATGCTCTCATTTACAGAGTTGGATGAAGTTACTGCATCCTCCATAAAATTATACAAGAAGGGCTTTTTAGGTTGAAAGTTCTATGTTTTACCAGAGACATTACATTTCATAGATATACAAAAATATGTACATAAAAATATTTACACATAAGATTTGTACAGGATAAGTGATAAGTGTAGTCTATTCTATACAATATACATTAGCAAATTACATAACCAATAACATTTACCGCTTTATCATTTCTTATTGTACACTATTTAAAACATCATTTCTTAGCTGATAAGAAAAATACAGAAATACCTAGGTTACATAGTTCTTTAAGTATTTGTGGAACTCAGTAACTGTACTAATTTAAACACTGATGGTTTTTTAAAATAATAACTCTTGATATATTTAATTCTTAGTTCTTAATATTGAGGACATTTTAATTCAAAGAAATTTATATGTTAGGTCATAGGGAAGGTGAAAGTCAAAAATTATTCACACAGTTTAATTGCTCACCAATTTGTTTTGTATCAAGCTTGCATTAATAAATTTGATAATAATATTAAACAAAAGAAAAAATAAAGAAAAGGTTTGAAAAGCTCAAATTTAAAAAAAAGCAAAGACTTAAGTTGGAAAAGCCAAGATTAAAGTTGGAAAAGCCAACTTTAAAGTTGGAATTACCAACTTTAAAATTGGAATTTCCAGCTTAAAAAATATTACGTGTCACTGATACGCTTCCGTAATATTGATGTTATTGCGTATATGATGTGTTGAAAATTCAGGGTAAAATGACAAAAAAGCAAGGTACTTATGTTGTCTGAAATAATGTCCAATCCATACATTTCACTCCAGAAAATATAATAACTAGATACTTTGCATAGTAATGCATGTTGTCTTACTTCTTACTTGATTAAACTGACATAAGCTGGTTGTAGCCAATGTCAACGTCATTAGACCTGTTGAGTTATTACATTTCGCCTAGCCTTTTCTCTGAAACCCAGATGAGGATGATTTGATACTCTACCCTGTAAATCTTACCACAGCCCCCTTTCTCCTAGCATCGTGTACCAGGGAGATCGCCGTCAGCCATGGATCTACCACGGTTTCCTCAGGGATCCATAATGCCCCCTGGGCATGTCTGCTGAGCCCAGGCTCCCTCCTGTACAGTTCCGACAGGCTGATCTCTGAAGCTGAGGATATCCCTGCTGCCCTTGACTTCTCGGCAATGATCGGTAACTTTGACACCTTCAAGACATCTGTAAGTTTGCTGAATCTGTATCGTACAACTAATTAAGAGTAATAGTTAATCGAATAATGGGAATTATGTATTAGGATTTTATTGATGTACAATTACACAAAAGAATTATGAAACATTGTACCAGTAAAATTTTCGTCGAAGGATGCATGCCCGGCGTCCGTTTGTCGTCTGTAAACTTTTCAAATTTTCGACTTCTTTTCAAGAATCACTGGGACAATTACAACCAAACTTGACACAAAATATCGTTGAGTGAGGGGAATACAAGTTTGTTCAATTGAAGGGTCACGCCTCTTTCAAAGGGAGATAATTAAGCATTATTGAAAATTTAATGACATTTTACTAAACATCTTCTGAAGAACAACTGTGAAAGTTTCGTTACATAATATGGATTCAAGTTTGTTCAAATCATGACCCCAGGGGTATAGGGTGGGGCCACATTGGGCGATCAAAGTTTTACATAAAAATATGAATAGGTCAAAAAATATGGAAAATCTTTTTCTCAAGAACAGCAAAGCCATATAAATTATACAGTGTACATATTTATATGGAAGCTAAGCATCCTCAGCTCAGGTAGTGTAGATTATATTTTTTTGTCATGAACCCATGGGGTAGGGTGGAGTCACAATAGGTGAAGTTTTACATGAGAAAAATCTTTAAAAATCTTCTTCTTGAGAAGAGCAAAGACCTGATTAGTCATGTTAATAAGGAAGCATCCTCAGGCATTGTAGATTTAAGTTTCCTTTTGGGGTAACAAGGGTGATCAAAGTTTTACATAGTAATGTAGAGAGGAAAAATGTCAAAAACATTCTTCTCAAGAACAGAAAGCCATGTTTGACATATCAATAAGGAAGCATCCTCGGATATAGTATATTCGGTTTGTTTATCCCCCTGGTGGGGGTGGGTAGGGAGGGCCATAATTTTACATAGGAATATACAGGGAAAAAATCTGCTGATGAAGAACAGCAGGACCAGTTGCAGTGACTCATGTGATCGTTGTGGCCCATGGGCCTCTTTTAATGTTACCAACACAATGACTATTGAAAAAATCTCTTTTTATAAACCTGTTCTTGTGTCCAAGCGACCATGGTTGCCCAAAATTTTTCGTATGGCAATCCAAATCCTTTTAGTAAATCAAACATTCGTGGGAAAGAGTGTTTTATACACTGAAACTCCAAACTATTGGCAGAGGAATCGAACCCCGTGTGGAGCATCCCACTATCAAACAAAAAAAATCAATTGAAAAAATATATATAAAGCTAGTTTGCACTTTGTTTGTAAGTTATTGAAGTACCAGGAGTCTCGGTGAAGGAAGAATTTCCACTAATCTGATTTTAAAGACACGTTACATTTATTTTATTTTTGTTATTGTTAATTTGATATTTTCTACTACATTGGTAATCTGATATTTTACAATTTGAGCTTGTGATTATAAAATTATTCATTTTTTAATTATTGAATTATCCGGTTTTTAATAACTCCATAACATGTTTATCACAAAATTAAAAAAAAAATAGTTGTATAGAAATAAAGAGAAGAATCTTGGGGGGGGGGGGGGGGTAGAATAGACAAGTGTCCGTGTCCGTATTGCGGCTATGCATGTACATAAATCGGAAATATCTCAATTGTGCAAATTTACCTGGGTATTTAAGTGTGTACAGTACTTGTCAAAATGATGATATCTAGATTCTAAACATTGTCAAGCTAAACACGAGAACTTCATTTTCTGCCACAGAATGTTTAAGGATATCCGATCCTCAGCCAGGAAGGGTAACTCTTAAATTTATTATTTTATCTAAAGAGTCTCAAAATGAAGCTTGAAATTGAGATCTTTTCGTGCAACAATTTTCATTTTATGCATCTTAATATGATTCAAGGCTCTTTGAAGTCTTAGAAACAGTCTTGTAAAAAGTTGACATTTGTATCCCATGCAAAAAAGAAAAAAAATAAATTCATTTGTAGAGAAATAAAATTTTCTTTAGTCTAGCATTAGATACGACTGCTTATTAGCATGATATGAAAGTAGTTGTGATATGTGATGTCTAGCAATGATAGAACAAGCTTTTTACACTATGTATTACATGACAATTGAAGTAAAAAGAGGAACTAAAATACTGTATTAGCATAAAAAAAATACTATTTTTTCCAAATGCCTGGATACCTATATTTTTCTATCCTAGATTATATTTGTTGATCAATTTTCAATTAGAAAATATATTTGAGATTTGATAATTTTCCCTATATAATATTATTAATTATAATGATGAACTTTGAAGAAATTCCATGGGTAAATTCATGTTACTATGTGAAATCAGAGACATTTTTGTGAGCTTTTTCAATTACTTAAAAGCTGATTTTCAGAACCTGAGGATCGGACTACCTTAACACGGGTAGTGACTTTCATACTGTAATCTGTATATCGAGTGTTAAAACAAGTATTGTGTAGATATTATTACTTTGTATACATTGTATATAATAATAGTGGTGATCTTCTGGTTTCGAAGCGCTCGTAAAAATAAATAAAAACGCAAATACACTTATTTCAATATTTTTTTAAAAAATAATTTGCTGTAAACATGCTCATTATTCATTAGCAGTGAAAATGTTTCATTCCTATAGCAACATTTCTTCTTAATTATAAAGTTAAACTAAATCAAAAAAAAAAATCAAGCATCAGAGCATGATTCGAACACTTTCATCAATAAACGTCCGTGGGTCCTTCGGACGAGACCTTAAAAACCGAGGCCCCGTGTCACGGCAGGCGTTGGCACGATAAAGATCCCTCACTGCTCAATGGCCGTAAAGGTCAAAATTTGAAGCCCTTCACCGGTATATGGTGACGTCTCTATATGAGTGAAAAATTCTCGAATGGGACGTAAAACAATATACAATCAATCAATCAACAATAAACGTCCGTTTAAGCAGCTCCTCGCTGACCACTATACACCATGCAGTCACATATACAAAACCATTTAAATAGCAAACAGTTCTTCGTCTTTAGCGAGCGTATTTGGACTGAGAATTTTTTAAGACAATGAGTAAGTAAACTTATTTTTTATGTAGAGTGGGTCTTCGTACTAAATTTTTTCAAGTGTAAAAATAAAACATCTTTCCATTTCATTATTTGTTCTCAAAAAAATGGAGCGATGACCCACTCTATTAAAAAATGAACTTAAAGCATCCAATTTATGTCGGTTTTGGTGAAAATTGAGCGTACGTGTTGCCATTTTGTGTTAATCATAATCAATTTCGCAGTTTCCGTATTCACGCATTATCATTTTTTGTATACAATTGGTAATAAACATTACTTAAATTTAAAAAAAAGAGGAATTTGTGAGAAATAAATTCATGTTTTTAATCCGTTGTTATGCAGGCAAAAGGCTCAGCTTATCCCCTAGTTTCTTTGTTCTCTCAATTGCAATATAAATTGTACATTTGTAAAATTTCTCATTCAAATCAGACCATAACTGTTGCAGGGTTCGAATGGAAAAATAAAATTAAGATTATTTTAAAAGAAAGAAAAGACTCAACTTTATGAAAATATGAAATCGAATAAAAAATGATTTATTTTTATTTAGTGCGAGACATCCCAAGATAATCTACTCAAGATCAAATTATTGTCTTATCAACATCTGAAATGCTCCTAATTATTAGACAAAGCATCCTTTCCCCATAAGTACATTGAGTAACTTAAACCCTGGCAATTAAACTGACATTCTATTTAGTTGATAAATAGAGGATATTTCATGTTTTTAGTTGGATGTGAAATTCATTTCACGAGTTGGGCAGGGTTTTTGATATTTTCACGAGTACAAAGCAAAGGTGTAAATATAAAAAAAAGTCTTGTCTCACGAGGAAATGAATTCATTATTTAACTAATCTCTAGCAGGATGGTTTATTTCTCTCTCTCTCTCTCTCTCTCTCTCTCTCTCATCACAAAC